ATTACCTGCTTATTCATTATTGGATTGTGGGACATGACATATATTATAGAAGTAAATAAAAAATATTGATAACAGGATCTAAATTTATGACACAATATGGTGCAGAAAAATTGTCTTGTGATATCGATATATTATTGTATCCCCATTTATTATTGTAAGTATGTTGGCATTACAATATATATCATAATCTGTTCTTCTCTCCACAGGTGTGCAACTGGTTTATAAACGCCCGGCGGCGACTCCTTCCCGAGATGCTCCGGAAAGACGGCAAGGACCCCAACCAGTTCACCATCTCGCGACGGGGCAGCAAGGGCGGCGAGATGCTCAGCGACAATTCCCAGTCTCCTAAACACGGCCTGCTCGCAAACGGAGAGGACCGCAGCAGCTACGAACCCGGCTCACCTCACCCAACCAGCAACACACCCACCTCTAACGGTTACCCCAAAAAGGCCCTGTCCCCCAAAACACCCCCCTCACCCGGACCTGTCTTACCCAGACCCTCTGTCATCTGCCACACCACCATCACCACAGCCACGCAAGGCATCGGCACGTCGACGCTCCTCGGCGTGGAGGGGTCCACAGAGCTGCCACTCACAGACGCAGCCGGCCTGTTTGGGTGTCGCGGAGAGGGTAACGTCAGCCCCCAGAGCGGTCTGTTCAACACCCCGCCACCCACCCCGCCTGACCTCACCCAGGACTTCAGCGGCTTCCAGTTGCTGGTTGACGTGGCGCTGAAGAGGGCCGCAGAAATGGAGCTGCAGGCCAAACAGCTCCTCGCCTGAAGACAGAAAAGACGGATGGATGAATGAAAAAGCATCATCGATGTTTGTTTCTTGCCCCCCAAAACCGAACTCCACAGGGAGTTCAAAAAACTTGACTGAGCAACAGAAAGCAAACAAGCATGGCCTGATCATTTCTATTTTTGGTAAATGTAAATCAAATTGATGAGGATTCCTTTATGTAAAGCATTTCAAGGTGCCTTGGCAAGTCAGTTCTTTCTTTTGTATTCCATTTATATGTAAATAAATATGTATCTTTTCATTTTGTACACAGGGGACCAAAACCAAACAGTAATACAACTTCCTGTCTTTCCTTTTTTTTTTTTTACAAGAAGACAAGCTCTTCTCCCATTCCTCATGAGTCTTTTTTTTCTCGTTTTCAGAGATTCGGCTCTATGATTGTCGATTTTGCCTCGTTTTTAGAGAACACGTCTGATATTCTGCCTCGTTTTTTGCACAAAATGGCAGGTCATCTCAGTATCTTATCAACTCTAGCTTTCTCTCCGACAGACTCTAATCACTACTGCACCGGGTCATTCTGTGTCTCATAGATGTTCAGTTTTTGTATTGTTTTTTGGTTGTAAAGTTTCTGATGCTGTTGTTAGTACATTTCGTTTTTCCTTTCATTACTCTTAAGGGATATTCAGATGTAGCAGAACTATAGTCTGAGATTTCCTCTGAATACTCAGTGTAGAAACGGCCAGTGAATGTGCCCACATGCTCCCCACCTCAGCTCTAAACACACACACACACACACACACACACACACACTCACACACAAATATACACCTTGGACAAATGAGCTGGAAGAATGAACACTACATGAATTGTATTAAGTTTTTTTGGTTTATCAAGTTGAGACCACTTTCAGAGGTTAAAAGGAAAGAATGGTTTTATGTCACCAAATATGTTGATTTCAAGGTTTTGGGACCTTAGACCAGTGCATTTACAGTAGCCAATGTGACATGATGCCCAATGATGTGACTTCTCCTCCTTACTGTGCAATGTATGTGGCAAATAGGGGTCACACGGTGTTTAAATAAAGTTTTGTTTTCTACAAAATGGGTGTTCATTTTCTTTCTTCTGCTTATTTTTAACTACATTATTCGATGAGTGTGTTTGGGGTAGGAAAAACTGGAAAGATTCTTACGTTCAAGGCTTAGCCTTCAGATGACAGTTCTTTCCAGTAATGTTTGAAATATGAAATAGCATGCAAGGCCTGACAGAATAGGTGAATTGCTTTCATAAAGCGGAAGGCAGCATGAGCAGGTACATCCAAATGAGGTGATTTATACCAATTCACTGCTGCCCTGCCTTGACATCTCACACATATCAAAGGCATGACCCTACAGGCTATTTCTAAATCATTCTGACATTCGTGTGTGTGTGTAAGCTTCACAAGAACGCCAATTAGCATAACCCTGCATTTAATTAGCAGTAGCTAAAACCAGACATCAACGATGGCTTGCCAATGGCGTCTGTGAGAGTGTGCATGTCTGTGTATCTGAGCACAGACAATAAAGACAGATTAGCAGGGACACGTCTGTCCTGGATATTCAGTCACACTCGGTTAGACAGCTTTTCTTTACTTTAGACTTCTCACTGGGCCGAGATCCAAACAAACAACTCAAAGAGTCATTGGTCTAGTTGGCAACAAGTGATCAAACTGATTAGCAGCTCAAAGTGGTTAATTAACCAAACACCTATATTTAAAAAGACATAAGACTGAGGATTTTTGGATGGAATGGATGTCTCACACGCTTTAGATGAGCGTATATGTTGTCTGGGTTCATCTGTGCGAAAAGCTGAAGGTGTCTGCTAATAAGACTCAAAGAAAGCAGTGATTTAAAACTACGAAGCCTAGTTAATAGTAGGAAAGTTTGTAAAAGGTAATAGGAAGTTTAAAATCAGCAAGAATGTGAGATATAAAGTCAAAACTGTGAGAAATAAAGATATACAAGTCACCATTACAAATCACAATTATGAGATAGAAAGTCAAAGACATAAAGTTGGATTAATAGAAAATGTAAAATTGTAATAGTCAAAATTGTACTAAAGTTGCAAATACAAGAAATAAAGACAATTGTGATATATTAATGTCACAATTTTGAGCTATGTCTATTACAAGAAATACAATCACAGCTGTAATATGCTTTTATAATGGCGAGACATCACAAGAAAATAAAGTCACAATTACGAGAGAGAGAGAGAGAGAGAGAGAGAGAGATGTAGTTATGGGAATCTTGCAATTGTGAGACAAAAAATAAGCCAAATTGTGAGATGTCAAATTGTGACAGTCAGAACTGTGAGAAATAGTTGCAATTGTGTGAAACAGTTACAATTACAACAGTGTCACCATATATAATAGTAGAAATAAATATAATCACAGCTGTGATATGTAAAGTTGTAATTGTGAGGTCACAAAAGTGAAAAAACTGCCATGACATAAAAGTCATAATTGTGAGACAGTCATACTTTTATGATATGTTGCAACACTGACAAAATGTTTTGAGAAATATCAACTATTTGAAAAATTCAGTTATGAGATAGAAATTAGGTTTCAAATGGGAGAAATAAAGTCAGTTATGACAATGTGATCAACTCTGAGATAAAGTCTCAATTACGAGAGATTAAACTGCAATTGTGGGACATTCATAATTGTGAGATGTCACAACACTGACAATTAAAAGTCACAATTCTGAGAAATAAGGACAATTACAAAATATTTAGTCACAGTTGTAAGATACAAAGTTGCAATTCTGAGATAAAAAGTAGGAAATGTGTAAATAGGTTTCCATGTAAAAGATTAATTCATTCATTCATTCTGGATAGAACAAACACACTTTTATTTGGAAATGAATCACTTCATGGCTGTGAGCATCTGTAATGTTTTAATGATCAAAATTTCATACACGTGCCATAACATTAACAGTGTTGTTACAATAAATACAAAATGTAAGTAGTAAGATTTCCTTAGATGTAGGTTACATTTACAATGAAGAACATTCATGTATTTACACACAGTCATTTTGATAAAGTTTATGCTTTTATGAGAACAGTAAATACAATATCCTGCCTTCATTTCCCAAAACATTGTGGTGGGTGCACAGTCCACATTTTGGCAATAATACACAGTCTAATCTTCTTGTACTTCTAAATGTCAGGACTTATCATGTTGCCAGATATAAACCCATATTTTCACATCAGTGAATGACAACAATTAAGAAAATGAGATTGTGATCACTTTTGGCAAACATGTTAGTGCTATATATTCTCACAAAATATCTCTTTAATGTCTCATAAATGTCTCTTTAAATACTAAAAATAAAATGAAATCAATATTCCGATAAACATTTCAGTATCATTTTATTTATATGATTTTTACAAATAAAATGACATGGATTTCCTTTGTGTTAAATCACCGATTGTCCAAAACAAAACCATTCCTAAATTTGGTGTCAGTTTGGACTGTAAGTGCCATGAAATACTACTCAACACTTTGATACAGAAATATCAATATGGGCAATTTGTCGTCAATATTGAATGCTTTAATTGGTACGGTAACATGTCCAGTATAAGACCTCTTCATGATATACACATACACAAACACACACATACACACCGATACACACACACACACACACATTCATACACACGTTATATAGTCTCCCCTGAGGCTACGTTGTGCATGACTATCATATATTCATAAATTAAGGCAGAGCGTTTAAACATCAATAATATTTAAAACATTAACCACAGTAGAAGGGCTCTAGTGCATAATAACTGGAACTAAGAGTTTAGTTAATAAGATAAACACTACCAGGATCAAACTAAAGCCAATGCAATTGAACTGTCTATGAAAACAGAGAATGGCTGCACATTGGCTGCTGGGAAAAATTTATATCAATATATATATTTATAGTGACGTGTCTATCCACAGTGAAATATTCTGAGAAAGAAACAAGAAATAGCTCCATAATATTTAAAACATTAACCACAGTAGAAGGGCTCTAGTGCATAATAACTGGAACTAAGAGTTTAGTTAATAAGATAAACACTACCAGGATCAAACTAAAGCCAATGCAATTGAACTGTCTATGAAAACAGAGAATGGCTGCACATTGGCTGCTGGGAAAAATTTATATCAATATATATATTTATAGTGACGTGTCTATCCACAGTGAAATATTCTGAGAAAGAAAAAAGAAATAGCTCCGTTTATTTAACATATTTAACAAGTGCAAATTAGTATTATCAGTTATTGAAAAATATGAGTGCAGTTAGGTTTTGACTAGTATTGAGTAACCTGTCAGTGCAACTATGATGCAGTGCTGTTTACAAATCAATTACACGAGCAGCACAAGAGTGTGATTCAATGGTTAAAGTAGGTTTCCTTAAATAGAAAAATAATAAACTGATGGTATGTGCTCTGCACTGATACATATTTACATGCACTGTCTCCGCAGGGTTACTGAAAGTATATACATCTTAGCATAAGTAAAAAAAACAAAAGAGAGTAGATGATCCATATTACAAAGTATCAACTGTGCTACATATCGGTTGAAAAAAAAAGAGATGCCTTCAGGAAAATTAGGAAGCACTTGGGTACATCTCACAGGAAACTTTCTGCATTTTTAGATTTTCAAAAAACTTCATTCTGTATGATTGATAAGCTTTTGTTCCCGTGGGGACCACAATTTAGGTCCCCACCGTGACACGAGTCCCCATGAGTCTGTGTGTAGTCAGGTTTAAGTCCCCACCAGGATATATAAACCTGTACACACATACACACACACACACACACATACATTTGACTGACTTGGCCGGATAAAGACTATCATGCAAACTTGTGATTATAAATATAATGAATAAATTGCTCAGTCAAAGATGGAGTTTTTAACTAAAATGTGTATTACATTTATTGAGCTGTTACATTGCAGTTTCATTATTTAAAATGATACTTTAAGCATTATTGAAATTCAAAGGCAACGGTAAAGAGGGACATGGTTTAAATGTGTTTCTTCAGGTTTTAAATATCTCTACAACTCCATTATAAAATACTGATATTTTACTTTATATCCATTTATACAAATATTTAGACAAATATAGTGAGGAGCTATATTAGTAAGCAGTCAGGAAGGCGTTTTATAATTCATCATTTATATATTTACAAAATATGCTAAATAATGTGCATTTTTTGAAAGAATCTAATGGCAAGTTCAATAAGATGTCCAAACGGGACACGATGTGATGAATTCACTGCCAAGATCATTTGCCCACACTGAACGAGAAACTGCTGAGTGACATGACACGTTCACAGCCAATCAGATGTATGTACAGTGCTTAATGTACAGTTATGAAGAGAGAAACAATGAGATTTCACAGAGGGAGGAGCTTTTTAATGCTATAGAATTAGAAAATGTCTTGTCGCGGCGTGTTCACACTGACAGCGATTTTATTGCTGGAGGACTCGCTGTTAAGTTAACTAAACCATAAAGTTAAAATACAGTTGTGAGATACAACTATCTAGATAAGATATACAGTCACAATGTGAGAAATAAAGTCGCAATTGTGAGAATTAAATTTGAAATTTATTATATAAGTTTGTAATTAAGCCACAATTAAGAGAAATAATATCTCTTCTGCTATATTACGATATAAAGTCACAATTATAAATTGGAAAAACATTGTCACAATTTCGAGAAATAAAATCTCTTGTGATATACAGTCAAAACTGAGATATACTAATAATGCGATATAAAAATGTAATTGCGAAAAAGTCACAATTACAATATAAAATCATATTTATCACCTACAACTGCAATTACATTAAGTAAAGTCACAATTAAGAGATATAAAATATCTTGTGATATATGGTCACAATATTGAGTGACTGATACATGAAAATGCAGTCGGGAGAAATAGTCACAATTACATCACAATTAACATCTAAAATCGCAATTACATTACGTAAAATCATAATTATGAGAAATAAAATTTCTTGTGATATATTGTTAAAATGTGATATAAAAACGCAATTGTAAAAAATAAAGTCATGATATAAAGTCGCAATTAACATAAAATTGCAATTACTGTAAGTCACAACAATCACAATTATGAAATTAAAATTCACAATTGTGACCTAGTCGCAATCAAAAAGAATAAAGTAGCAATTAATTGGATATAGCCACATTGCACCACCTTGTTCATGTCATCAGAAACTGGCAGAGATCTTTGAAAATAAAAGACTTTGCATCACTTCATCGCTGTCAGTGTGAACGGGGCTTAATGCTGAATGAAATCCCTGACTGCCCATAATGTTTCATAATGTGACACATTGCTAATTTATGAATGGCTAATGAATCAGAGCCGTGAAGAGTGGCATGTTCTGACAGCACTTCTGTCAATGACGTGAACACGTTAAGCGGTGACAGATAAATGTGTCACATTTGATGGATATGATAGACATCTATGTCAGTCAAACAGGTGAGTGGCACTGCTGAGGGGAGATCGTGGGCGGACAGGAACTGAGATAGGATGCTTTGAGAGGATGGGAAAGGATGACTGAGTGGGAGGTTTAAAAATATGAAAAGAAAGAAGAGAAAAGGTGTTTTTTCCATTCTATCCCGATACTGAAAACAGAACAACCTCGCCCTGTCTCAGAGGTGCAGGGTGACACGTGAGAGAGTGTAATACACGTACTGAAAGCCTGACACACGTTTACATACATACACTGAAATAGTGGCTACATTGGCGTTAAAATCTTCAGAAGTTATCGGTATGTTGCCCTTTGAGAAGTTATGTCCTCTTTGAGAACACAAGACATATGGCTCTTACACGGTAACTGCAAAAAACTACAAATGAAATAATAAAATTCAGTAGTGTGCATTATTTGACTAGTAATATTAACAGACATAATAATATGTTGTATTTTAGACATGAATATATATATATATATATATATACACACATACATACATATATATTATTGGTTATTTTAACAATTAAATATAGTGTCTAATAGAAGTATAAAAGTAAAAGTAATAAAAGAATAAAAGTCTTTGGAAGTTTAACAAGAGAGCTACATAGCAAATGGGAGGATGGAGGAAGAGAGAAAAATTAAGTCATAAATACATACAGTAGAATCCCACAGTGAAGAAACTCTCTTTTACAGAAGAAAAGAGTAGTGATTATGTTACAGCTACCCTGCCTTTGTTATTCAGTGCTTTTGTGTTATGGTTGAAGATATGCGTGTGTGTGTGTGTGTGTGTGTGTGTGTGTGTGTGTCTTTGTGTGTCTATTTATGCTTCTAAGCACCTGGATTTCAGTGTTTATAATCGTGTTTGGGCCTCTGGGATGTATATTTCAATGCTGTCGGCGCATTCTGTGGCAGAGCTCTGGCGCTGAGAGGCGGCAGCACGTTTAGCCGCTAGCAGCCGCTTACGAGCCTCCAACCGCTGGGAGCCCTCCAGAGACCGGTCTCTCACTAGCAGCATAGGACCCCTCCCTGGCTTCCTGGGAACCGGAGGGGGCACGCGCCTCTCCTGGACAGCAACGACAAACTGGTTAGTGCCACTCCTCAACGTAACACAACACTGCTAATGCATGCAATTGTGGGGTCATCTGTTGTAATATTTAGTTGTGTCTGAGTGCCAGGCATCAGCCAAATACATTAGGTGAGAGCTTGGCCATTACAGAAGCCGTTTTTGTGAGCTAAGCGTTCAACCCATTTGGCATGAGGTGAATGGGACCACTGGATGTAAACCACATGCAGCGTGCAATTTGGGAGCATCCCCTCAAAACCAGATCACTGTCAAACACAGAACACATAAAATAATAAGAAAATGAGCAAAACAAATCAAAGCATAACACATACAATATTCATGAATAAAATAAGATTGATAACATTCAAATAAAATATTAAACAAAAAAGCAATAGACCTATAGAGTCAGAGAAAACGCCATATTTAACTGAATGCAAATACAGAAAACTGACCGTTCAATACATTTGAGCTGAGATTTTGAATATTGTGCTGGTTGTTCTTTTCCATGCAACTCATTGTGCAAGCATTGTTAAAGTAGTTCATGTGACTTGATATGTGCCCTAGCGCTCCTTGGCTTGATCATAAGAATTTGTGAGAGAAGTAGTTATGTCTGATTCACAAACAAATCATTCTTTTGATTCTTCTTAATGATTATTTGGTTCAGCTTACAAATTTTTATACCAAAAGCCAGATCACAACATTGATCCGAATGATTCTGTGACAAATTGGACTGATTAGATTCTTGACTCACTGACTGATGGCAGCAGTTAACAGCTCATATTATGACTAATTTTGATATTTTCCTCACAGAAAAGCTATCGTATGACTTCAGAAGACCAGGAATATAATGCACAAGTCATACGGACTACCTTTATAATGCTTACGTGCTGTGTTTGTGCCCTTCTTTAAGCTTGAAGGCCTCAGGCTTCATTCATATGTGATGAAAAAGAGTGAACTGTACAATTTTATTGTACAGTAAATAATGACATAATTTTCGTTTTGGGTGAACTGTTCAAGACAAAACGGCATATTGAACAGATTACTCTTCCACCCCTCAGAGTCTTTTTTTTTTTGCATTAAATTTAATAATGCATCTACTCTGACATATATTGAACAGTTAAAATAAACCAATCATTCATCTTAAGCATGCCAACGAAATGTCACTGCACTGTATTTAAACAGCGTTGCAAATTAATGTGTCAACTGAGGTATTCTTAGCTATTTTTAGATAGTGTGTAATGCATCTGGATTTGTGATATAAAATCTGTACCTTTCTCTCAGGAGGCTCCGGTGCTTTCCAGTTGTTAGCTTTCAGCTGGTGTAGCTCATCAAACTTCAGGCTGATGTTCTCAATGGACAGCTGCAGCATATCCCAGAATCCTGCCAGATCTTGAGACACGGGCCGTGGGTGGGCATTGGGATTCTGACAGCCAGAGAACAGATTATACACAAAACATCTGTTAATTTAAAAAAACAAAAACATAATATCTAATTGGGTATTACTGATTTAATGCTATTCAGGCTAACATGGCCATTCAGGGGCAGAGCTACCAAGTGGAGCTCTGCTCTGATTGGCTGATGGATGTGTGCTTACATACCAAGTTTTCTTCACAGAGCTCCCGGAACTGCTGAAATTTCTGCGACATCAGCAACTGAGCGCTGCCCACCGCACTGCGAATCTTGCCGAGAGCTAAACAGACAAAATAATTGAGAATCAGCTGTGGAAAACGTAGTAAAGTGTAGTAAAACAAAAGTGGATTAAGTAGCTTGAAAAGTTGATGCAAGCACAGTATGAGAAATTCTACGCAATAACACAGTAGTGAATGTGTGCGTGTGTGTCGCAAAGGCTTAGACACTCGGTTAATGTTTAAATGCTCTCTCTTTGAAGTGAGAAAGGGTCATAAATATCTAAGGCTTGGGAATCCAAATGCAGGAACCAGAGGAGCAGGGGCAGTGTTTACCATGCACACCAAACAAACACCCGCCAAAGCCAATGAGCCAAGAAACTCACACACACACACACACACACACACACACACACACACACACACAGAGCTATGATCTGTGATGTAAAAAGATAGATTGAGAGTGAAAAAGAGTAAATATCATATCAGATTACCAAACAAAGGTGAATTATCTTAAAGGAAGGAAGCTAATGTTTGCCATGCGGGGGTCATTTAAAGGCTTTCGCCGTGGCCTAAAGGAGTGACTGCAGCGTGTCTCTGTGGATTGGAGCCATGAGGCAGTTTAAACAGAGATCCGACAAAATGAACTCACTCTGTTTAACATATGCAGCAACAAGAGACCATATGGCAAACAACGTGCTGTCATTGGACAGATTAGCATATTTTATGTATTCAGGGAAAGAGGGAAGGATTAGAGAAGAGAGAGTGGAAGGAGACTGATATAGAAACAGTGAGAGGAAAAAGAAAATATACAGAGAAAGAGGGAGCGAAAGAATTGAAGGAGACGGGTGGCTCCCTGCTGGTAGAAATGTCTGGTATGTGAGAGGGAGACAGAGAGGAGATAGATGAACAAGCAGGCTTTGTGACTGACACGAGGACGGTCACTGCGCCGTGTGTGTGGGTGTGTGTGCTTGAGCAGGGAAAAGGCAGGAAGTGGGATAAAAAGAAAGAGTCCGGCTTGAGGTAACCAGACTGTGAAATGACCTTGTGCACTGGTAGTTTTGTTAAAGTGGCTAATTATTCTTGGACACAGACTGTACAAATGTCATTCTAGTTTTGCAAAAAAAAAAAAAAAAAAGACTACTTGACTTTAAAATAGCAGTGGAATCGGAAATTCAATGATTTAGCAACAACAACTATTTTGCTATGATTACTTTCCAATATGGTGTAAAATAACTCAAGTTGCCTAACTAAGAACAATGTTTATGGCATCAAAGATGCATTTAGAACATTACAACTGAACATGCGAATCTCCCAAAAAGTGGTTTTAAATTGAGAATTCCAGAAAGGTAATGCTGTTGAATTTTTGTAAATTAGCCTATAATGCCCCAAAATGCTGTTGAATCAAACATTCTAAATGATTCTACAATGACCCAACGTGCAGTTGAATTGAACATTCTTATGGCCAAAAATACTATTGGATCAAACATTTTAAATTAGTCCATAATGACCCAAAATACAGTTACATCGAATCTTCTAAATGATTCTTCAATTACCCAAAATGGTTTTGAATTGAACATTCTAATGCCCCCAAATGCAGTTGAATAAAAAATTCTAAATGATTCTTCAATGACCCAAAATGCCATTGAATCAAACATTCTAATGCCCCAAAATGCAGTCGAATTGAACATCTTAAATGAGTCTAAAATGACCCAAAATGCAGTTAAATCAAATATTGTAAATGAGTCTTCAATGACCCAAAATGCTGTTGAATCAAACATTCTGAATGAGTTTACATAGGCCAGGAGTAGCCAAGTTCGGTCCTAGAGAGCCGCAAGTCCTGCAGAGTTCAGCTCCAACCCTGAAAAAAAAACTCACCTGCCTTTAGCCTTAGTAATCCTGAAGACATTGATTAGCTTATTCAGGTGTGTCTGATTAGGGTTGGAGTTGAACTCTGCAGGACTGCGGCTCTCTAGGACCGAACTTGCCTACCCCTGGCCTATGTAAACTCATTCAGAATGTTTGATTCAACAGCATTTTGGGTCATTGAAGACTCATTTACAATATTTGTTATTTGCTAAAAAACTTGCCTACCCCTGACATAGGCAGACAGCCAGCGTAGTACCTTTTTGAGAGTAAATATCTCAGAGTTACTCACTGTCTTCTGGAAGCTCATTTTCTCTCTCATCCTGCTCCATCTGTTTGCACCACCCCACCATCCTCTCCACCTCTGCTTGCAGCAGTTTCAGAAACCAGCGTCCGTCCTGCGGACACACGAACCCTGACACCCCACTCGTGTATTCCTCCTCCATGGCTCCATCCATCCAGGGGTCTGGAGGGGGAAGAATGGAGGGGTCGAAGCCCACATCGGTGTAGTCATCTTGGACACAGGCATGGTAGTGGTTCCCAGAGCCCTGGATGCTGACAGTGGAAGTGGCTGCATCTTGGGATGGCTGGCGGACAATGGGCCCCTCTTGGGTCTGTGTGAACTGGTCATCGCCGAGACACTCCAGAAGGTCTAGATCAGCTTGAACGGCAGTGGTGACGCTGTTGGAGCGTGTGACTCTGCGGTAGCTGGAAAGAAAAGATGAACCATGTTGTATAGTTTGTTTTCAAGTTTTTTTTCCAAAATGTGAATCTAACACTCAAAAATAATGTTGACTTGTTGCACCTATCCTAAAAAATGCTGGCGAATGGAGCATTCCAAGCATGTCTCAATAGTGCTTGCTGACAATGGCTTTTTTGAATTTGTTGATTATAACAAATAATAGACTAAAAATGTGCATCATAACAATAAACAATTTTAATTCAAACATACTGTTAATATGAGAAAAATTATCAAAATATAATGAGAAAAATTAACACTGTATTAATAAGGGTTTTCGTGAACAGTTTCAAAATGTTCAAATTATTTATGTTTTTGAAAGAAGTCTCTTAGGCTCAGCATTTATTTGAATAAAAATACAGTAGAAACAGTAAAACTGTCAACTATTATTACATTTTAAAATAAGTATTTTCTATTTTAACAAATTTTAAAATGTAATTTATTTCTGTGATTTCAAAGCTGAATTGCCAGCCATTAGACCAGTCGTCAGTGCCACATGATCCGTCAGAAATCATTCTAATATCCCGAGTTAGTGTTCAAGAAACTTTTTTTAAAATTATTATCAATGTTGTCACTTTTGATAATTTAATGCATCCTTGCTGAATAAAAGTATTAATTTCTTTTTAAAAAATCTTGCTAATCCAAACTTTTGAATGGTAGTGTACATTAAAGTGTTATGTTAACAATTAAAAAAAAAAAGTTAGTGGTAAAAATGTGGTTAATATGATATTTTCTATTATCAAATAGAATTTAAAAATCAATTTAAATAAAAAAATTTTTTTATAATTAATATTAATTATAATTTTGTTTTAAATAAAAATTAAATAATTTAGAAATCTAATAAAAATATAAAACATACTGTATAGCCAAAATTGTCATTAAAATGAAAGTTATAAACATGCCTAAGATGCTTAAAAATGCTGTGAAATGAAATGTCCCAATGCCTCATAATGTTCGAAATGCTGTAAAAACAAACACGCCAAATGTACTAAAGATTTTCAAAAAAATAAATAATAGTGATAAAAATAAAATAAAAAATACAGTAATTGGTTTGTAATTGTCTGTTAAAACTTCCTTCTAGGTAACTGTAGACTACGATATTAAATACAAGTGTAACAAACACACAGACACCTGTAGGAATAGAGAGGGATAACATATCAAAGCGATCTGGCTTAGATCTGCTACTCTGTGTTTGCTAGCCAGCCAATCACGTTTAATCTGGATATTCCATTTATGTATGAGATGGTGCTGTTTGAGGCTGAAACTAACCTATGGTGGACTCAGAGCTTTACATATTAACCGAAGCTATCAATAGAACACCCACACACACTCATTTTTCAAGATGCTTATCCTAGCCGCATGTTAAAGCCACTAAGACCACCACAGCACCAAAACCTCTGAAGGGTGTGACATGGAAGACACCAGTGTCAGAAGTTCACCAAAATTACTTTCAAGGGCATATTTACCTTTATGATGTCTTTATATTACATATCAAAATACACAGTGTGGCATTCATTTAAAAAATCAATAATCAAAAATCTAATAAAAAAATCAATCAATCAATCAATCAATCTATCGATCTATCGATCTATCTATCTATCTATCTATCTATGACAAGTTCTGGAGCTCAACAGTTTGTCAGTACTCCCTGTGTTATCACATATGTCTAAGTACCGGCTGTAGTGCACCTCCCCAGAGTAAGAGAAGCCGTGATTGGTTTGGGACTCATTCATTAATATCCTTCATTCCTACGACACTAAGGAGGAGGAAAAGAGTGTATGACGTGCTAAAGGAGTCTCTACGTACAGTTCAAAGGCTCTGACTTCAGCAGGAAACAAGAGCAGACCTGTGCTAGGAGAGCCGTGCCTGTGTTTTACAGCTGTATTCCCTCTCAGTTACAAAGGCATGCTTCAGCAAAGTCCAAATACCGCGACCTGTGTGTGTGTGTGTTATGTGTGTCCCTCTCTCATCGTCTAAGAATCTGTTCCTCAACGCTTCAATACTGGCAGCTACCAGCCACAACCTCCTATATACATGTGTACACATACACATATTAGTTCAATTCTAAAACCTAGTAAGCTCCTCACTGTCTACTTCCTATATAGCTCCCTTGTAAGACAGCATCTTAAACATAATTTGCAACAATCTACATAAGCAGAGAGTGACGTTAGCATATGTTGCTAAACTACCAACACAATAGTAAATAGTAAAACAATCACATTTTTAAATAATTGAAATACTTATCAGTATTGAATAAAATTATATATTATATATATATATA